TTTGGGAGGTTTTTGAAAATATATTTATGTGAATATTTGGAGAAAGTGCACTTATGCGAATACCATTCACACTTGCCTCGGCTGCAGCATAAACACACATTTGAATGCAAAAGATTTCGCCTTTCATTAACTGTTGGCCCATATTCCATTCTTAGACCACAAATACAAAAATACATACAGCCATAATATGAATGTGAATTTGTGTAAAAGGATTTTCGCCTTCATATGTTTTTTTTTTTTACCTAGGTCTATGTATGTGTACATGTGTTTTGTTTCGGAATTTGGGCCACCTACATACAATTTTTGTGATTTCCGCAACTTTTCTTCACTTTAAGTGGGACATCAACGTCATGTCCTCGACGGTCGTTTGGAGTTGGTGTCGCTAACGCAATAAAGCTGTACTTCGTTAAGATTTTGTCTTTTTGTATTTTTTCACACGTTTACTTATGCAAAATAAAAACAGATTAAAAAGCAGTAAGTTTGGCCGCGAGGAACTTTGAATACCCTTCATCATTTGAAACGAATTTGGAAATAAAATCTTAAAAAAAATTCTGTTAAAATTCTAAAAATACCGAATATAGCCGTTATATTGGTGTCTATACGAGGTGGATCTACATAGGCACTGTTTGTCATATTCAAATTCGAAACATAAAATAAACGGTGAATACAATAGCTAAAATCATCAAAATATCATATATAGGGAGGTGCCGTACACGTTTCTCTCATAGGCTGTAGCATCCACTACGAACTTCAAATACGACATCTCAAACAATTTCGATGGGTATTGTACCTAAACTCGTCAAAATACCGAATATAGGGGGTGCTGGTATATGGGCCTTTACGAAGACCCTGACCTACATATGCAATTTTGTGTCACAGACTGTAGTTCCCATTACGAACTCTAAATACGTAATTTGAAACAATTCTGGTGAATAATGACGCTAAAATCATCACAATACCGAATATCGGGAGGTACCGTTATATGGGGGCTATACGATGACGTGGACCTGCACAGACAATTTTCTGTCTTAGGCTGTAGTATCCACTACGAACTTAAAATGCAAAACTTTAAACAATTCCAGTTAATAATTACAAACGGAATGACGAAGGTATAAAAATGACGAAGGGTATAAAAACAAGTAAAAAAGCAACTACGTCAAAAAATACCGAGCAAACGAAACCCGTTATATGGGGGCTATACGAAAACGCAGTACTGTATAAGTAATTTGTAGTAAGTAATAGGTTGTAGTAACGGTTCCGAACTTTAAATACAAAATTAGAAACAATTCCGGTGAATATTGTCACAGAAACCATTAAAATACCGAGTACGATATACGATATCGTAGACCTATATATTATTATATGGGGGATATACGATATCGTGGACCTATAGAGATAATTCTCTTCCAGGGGATAAAGTTCACACAAGGAACTCCTTGTGTGGATTTAGACATGGAGGCTATACGATATCGTGGACCGATACAGCCCATCTTCGAACTTGACCTGCCTGCAGACAAAAAACAGATCTGTGAAAATTTTTAGCTTCCTATCCTAATTCGTTTCGACTGTAGCGTGAATACAACAGACGGACGGACGGAGAGGGCTAAATCGTCTTAGAATTTTACGCTGATCAAGAATATATATACTTTGTTGGGTCTAAAATTATTATTTCGATGAGTTACAAACGGAATGACGAACTTAATATACCCTCCATACTATGTATGGTGGAGAGTATGAAACGAACTAGGTTCTGTTTTATTTTTACTCCACATTTGGTTAAACATTTTAATCTACTTTGTTTGTGGATAAGTGTGTTATGTGGGTACAAGGGAACTTTTCGCGAGATACCTCCCGCCGTCGCCAAAAAATGTAACACAAGACAACATTTTTGTTGGCAAACATGTTGCACGTTATCTCTGGCAAGATTTTCTTGTAGTTATAGTCAACACTGTATATTAATTCATACATCTACATACATAAATACATATGTATGTAAGAATTTATATATGTAAAGATATTTATGTACACACACACTTACATACAAACGCAGATGCCTAGCAAAACATCCGATTAAGAGCGTAGAAAATTTACATTCACAGTCGTTGCACTTTTTATTTATCAATGACCACAAAAGCAGATAAAAGATGTCAGTAAGGCAGAAGAAGAGATTAAAAAAGAAAAGCAAAGCGAGATAAGAATCTTACAGGTAGTGGATAGAACTTAAATTATATCAATCATAATGTGAATGCTCCAGATTAAAATGTGATTAACTCCATTGAGCTGAATATGTCAAAATATTAAAAAAAAAACAATTGGGACATATATGAATCGAATAACCCACAACAAGGTAATGTAAACACATTTCCTTTCGAATCGCATGTTTTTATCATTACCATGTAATGAGTAGCTGGGTCTGAGAATGAGCAAATCCGAAAGTTGTGAGCTCGAGAATCTAGATGGAGAAACAACAAATCAAGTTAGAAACAAGTTAGTAGATATTCCGACAGATATATACCTTATAATTTTAGTAAAAATATTGCAATGTGCTAAGTTTGAAGAAGACTGCAGGACAATTTCGCTTTTTATGAAATTTATGATTATTATTTGATATATTCATGCCAGATCTAATGTAGTCTAATTGGGATATGAGAAGTTTGATGAAAATCACTAACTGATATCACATTTTACCACAGTTTTTATACCCCTACCATAGTATGGAAGGTATATTAAGTAATTCCGTTCGTAACACCTCGAAATATACAATTTAAACCCCACAATTTATATATATTCTTGATCAGCATAAAATTCTATGTCGATTTGGCTATATCCGTCCGTCTGTGTAAATCACTCTAGCTCCCGAACGAAATGAAGTAGGTTGATATAATTTTACTCAAATGTATATTATGTGTGCAGGACTTTTGGTATTGAAAATGGGATATGTAGGTCCACGTTTGGGTAAAGCCCCTAAGTCCACAAATGGTGGAGGGTGTTCAGAGTTCGTCCCGGCCGAACTTACAGCTTTTTTAATTGTTTATAATTTAGAACTTTTGTGATGGAGATCCCTAAAATTTTCTATTTCAACGCCAACTCCATAATAGACTGGGATGTGAAACAAACGGTGGTTCGATATATCCAATTTTCACAATTGCTGAAATGTGTTGCAAATATATTATTAGGTTGAAAATGGACACTGATTTCAGCCTTCACGAGAATTATTGCGGTTCAAGAAGGTGTGGACCAATATTGCTATTTGTGGCACATAACAGATGTCCGATAGAAATATGAAGATGTTTTGTATAAATATTATGATATACAAAATTTATTATTATATACAAATCTAACAATCCCTTTGAGAATAATGGTTCTCACCAAGGGCTAGATTGACTCCAAATGCCCCGTAATGAATTTCATCCGAAGAGACCTAAAGTCTAAACCGTTATATCTACAAGGCACATGGTGACCATATCGAAAAACATACTTATTTTCAGGCCTTATTTGGTTGAATGTGCAAAATTCCTTACTATTCGGGCTGATATTACACGTTTGGAGCACAATAAATTCAAATCGGACGAAGATATATATGGGAGCTATATCTAAATTTTTACCGATTATCTCCAATTTCAATAGGGTACGTCCTTGGGCCAAACAAATGATTTGTGCAAAATTTCATCTGGGTAGGGCAATAAATGCGAACTGTACTTTGTTTAACAAAATACATGGACAGACGGACGGACATGCATAAATCGACTCAAAATGTGATTCTATGCAGATTATTAACAGGAACTATGGGTCTATCTCGTTTCCTTTTGCCTGTTACAAACAAATGCACAAAGACATAATACCCTGACCACCTTGTGGTGTAGGGTATAAACACCAAAAAAACTAAGACATATTGATTTCAGTATTTTTTTATTACAAATTTTACTTTCAATACTTCGAAGAGAAAAGTTCAATCAACTAAACGCCTGCCTTTCAGTTTGTTTTCTTTTTTCTTCTTCAAACCTACAGCAAAACACCTTTTTATTGATTTCTTATCAAAAAACCAGTAAAGAAAGTCTTAAAGTCGGGCGGGGCCGACTTTATGATACCCTACACCACTTTGCTAATTAAGTAGAGCTCCACATAACAATTAAAAGTTTTTATGGGAGAATTCAATCATACACGCTATGATTATAATTATAATTTAAAGTTCAAAGGACTAAATATGCCGAAGCATTTGTATCTTTAAATTCGGAATTGTATTGCCCATTTGGTGCACAATTAATTTGAAATCGGATAAAGATATATATGGGAGCTATATCCAAATCTGAACCGATCTTGATAGAATTTGGCAAAAATATTTCTGAGCTGTATTTGATATATTTCCCTGAATATCGTTGTTACGAAGTGCATATTACGGCTGTGGGTAACAAATATAACAAATCGGATGAGCAGTATATATGGGAGCTATAGCTATATCTGAACCGATCTTCACCAAATTTGACATACTAGCTTCTAGACTCAATTCGGTCGTAAGTGCCAAATTCCATCCCATTTGGACAAATATTAGACGTTTGGTGCACAATAAAAGGCAAATCGGACAAAGATATATATGGGAGCTATATCTAAATTTTGACCGATTATCTCCAATTTCAATAGGGTTCGTCCTTGGGCCAAACAAAAGGACTTTGCAAAATTTCATATGGATCGGGCAATAAATGCGACCTGTACTTTGTTTACAAAAATACATGGACAGACGGACGGACGGACAGACGGACGGACAGACGGACGGACGGACATGCATAAATCGACTCAGAAAGTGATTCTATGCAGATCATCAAAAGGAACTATGGGTCTATCTCGTTTCCTTCTGCCTGTTACAAACAAATGCACAAAGACATAATACCCTGACCACCTTGTGGTGTAGGGTATAAACACGAAACTTATCACTGCGAATCATTGTGGCGTGAAATGACAACAAACAATTTTTGATTAATTGTATTCAATTAGAGAATAATTACCATAAACTGTTGAAATGCGATAAAAAAACATAAAACTTATCGTCGTCGCAATATTATTATTAAGATAGCGATTGAAGGTAGGTGAAAAGACGTCGGCAACAATTAGCAATAAAACGACGCAAGCTAGGCAACGAATTTGCCAAAATTTAACACTTTTTTCGAAATATTTTATTAGTATGTCATCAGAATTTGCGTTGGGAACATGATTGTTCAAATTTTCTTCTTGCTATTTTCGAAAACGGAACTTATTTTAACACTTCCACGAGGATATATTTCTTTTCCAAAAAAGATTGAAAAATGTTGTAATATTTTTCCTTCTCTCACATATTCTTACTACCGCATTCAAAATTCCCGTTCCAACTAGTTTCGTTTAAGGTGATACACTACCGAGTAAAAGTGAAAAGCCTCGACTCAGCTAATCTACAAGCGACCACCACGAAGGAGGGATGGGGGTAAAACCATGTGGACAAAAACACTGATAATGATTGTCATCGCCCGCAATACCGGCTAGAAAAGCGGCTTGTCTTAGTGATAATTCTGGACGCAAGAACAAAAGCTAAACCAACAACAAAAACTGAAATTGAAAATAATAAACAAAAGTAATTTAGTAATTTAAAATAATGCAAGCCAGTTGATCCATAGTTCTCTAAACTGTCATAGATATAAAGAAGAATGCCAATCTCAGGCAGCCGAAGATAGATACACACACACACACTCTCTTCACAATGTAAATATGTTTTTATGTTTGTACAAATGTTTAGTTTGTCGCATCTTCAAAAAATCCATTACAATCTCTACTTAGTTCGTATGTACATGAGTACATTGTCTTTCACATTTCTTATCTTTCTCTCTGATTATGTTTTATCCAAATTAGACAATGTACACTGAGAGAAATTTTCCGAATACGAGTAACTACTGACCTGTGGGCAAGATATTTTGAAATGTTGTTCTGAAAGTTCTGTCAAGGTTTTGGTATGAAAAATTGTTGCCCTTTAATAATATATGAAAACCAGTAAAGAAAAGTCAGAAGTCGGGTGGGGCCTACACCACTTTGCATATTTAGTAGAACTTCCATAACAAAAGAATTTATTTGAAGTAAATCATACCACCTATCAACATTTGGCTTAAGATATTTTCACTAAATTTGACGGAGATAATTTAATATTTTGTACTAAATAACATTGCTATAGAGTGCATAATATCACTTCATGAAGGATTCGGCCAGGCCGAACTTTGAATACCCTCTACAATTTGGAACGAATTTTTCAATTCTCAAAAACTATAAAATCCGTTAAAAATTCTGTTAAAATCTTAAAAATACCAAATGTAGCTGTTATATTAGGGTCTATACGACGACGTGGACCTGAATAGGTAACATTTGTCACAAGCCATTACAATATTCAAATGCGAAACTTAAAAAAAAATCGGTAATAATCATCAAAATACCGAATATCGGTAGGTACCGTTATGTGGGGGCTATATGAAGACGTGGACCTGCACAGACAATCTCCTGTCATAGGCTGTAGCATCCATTACGAACACCAAATACCAAATTAAAATCATCAAAGTAACGAATATCGGGAGGTACCGTTATATGGGGGGCTATACCAAACCGTGAACCTACATGGCCCATTTTCAATACCAAAAGTCCTGCAGACATAACATACATTTGAGTTAAATTTTATCAATCTACTTCAATTCGTTCCGAAGCTAGAGTGATTTCCACAGACGGGCGGACATCGCTAAATCGACATAGAATTTTATGCTGATCAAGAATATTTATACTTTGTGTATTTCGAGGTTTTACAAATGGAATGATAAACTTAACATACCCTCCATACTATGGTGGAGGGTATAAAAGTATACACCGGAGCCGGGTTTCACAAAACAGAAACATACGTCCCGAAATTCGCACCATTTGATGCACAATAAACCTGAAATCGGATTAAGGATACATATGGGAGCTATATCCAAATCTATGGGAGCTATATCCAAACTTCAAGAGGTTTTTACGAGCTCTATAAGATACCAAACATCATTCTCTTGGGGTGTAATTACGAATGTGGGGAACTTAAATACCAAATCGGATAAAACATATATATTGGAGCTATAGCTATATCTAAACCGATTTTCTACAAATTGTATGTACTTGTTTCTGGATGAATCAAAATTCCGGACTTTCTGACAGATATTGGCCACTTGGTGCACAATGAACCCGAAATCGGTTGAAGATATATATATGGGAGCTATAACCAAATCTGAACCGATCTTGTTAAAATTAGGCAGAGGTATTTATGCGATGTATCTGATATCTTATACCAAATATCATTCTTGTGGAGTGCATATTACGAATGTGTGGGACTTATACACCAAATCGGATAAAACATATATGGGAGCTATTGCTATATCTGAACTGATTTTCGCCAAATTTGATGTACTTGCTTTTGGATCGATTTCGTTCATATGTTCCAAAATTCAGGCCATTTGGACTGATATTGGCCGTTTGGTGCACAATAAACCCGCAATCGGTTGAAGATATATATGGGAGCTATATCCAAATCTGAAGCGATCTTGATACAATTTGGCAGAGCTGAGCTGTATCTGATACCTGATACCAAACATCATTCTTGTGGAGTGCATATTACGAATGTGAGGAACTTTAATACTAAATCGGATGAAACCTATATATTTGACATACTTGTTTATAGGCTCAATTTGGTCATAAGTGCCAAATTTAATCTAATTTGGGCTAAAATTACACGTTTGGTACACAATAAAGGTCAAATCGGACAAAGATATATATGGGAGCTACAATCTTGATAAAATTAAGCAAAGGTATTTCCGAGCTATATTTGGTATATTGTTACCACCTTGAGGTGCAGGGTACACAAATCTACGAATTCTCTCCCCCAAATTGGTAACACATATTAAAGAAAAACATGTGCTTGCATCTGCTTGGACCAAGAAATGTATAAAATCTACGAATATGAGCTACTCCTATAAGGCCAAATAAAAGGGGTCCTGTTAGTACAGGGGTCCTGTTAGTAGTATAGAAAAAGTTTTATAAATTTACGACTATAAACTCTCTTAGTTCGACCATAAAATACCTAAAAATCCATGACTAACAATGCCAAAAATATTTAATAAAACAAGTAAGCAAAGGCTACAGTCGAGCGGGGCCGACCGTTGAATACCCTACAACACTATAATAAACGATACAGTTTATATAGGCGAGATACTCGAAAGAATTCCACAAGATATTGTGACAAATAATAAAAGAAACCCATTAGGTTTCGTTTTCTAATTTTCGAATAATAGCAACTTAAACTAATTTAAATGGTCTTCCCAGATCTGGAACCAATATTTCCCAAAGACCTATAATCTCTCAGAAGTGGCAAAAGATTAACATTTATTATTGGTTTTTGACTGAAACGCATCTATATGAGATACAGACATTATTCTTCAGACTATATTCTTCAACGAAAATAAAAATATAGCGATCATCTCCAAAAAGAGTAGACTTCTATTCTGACCCTCATCTTATCCCCATGCAAAATTTCGTAAGGATCGGGCCATAAATGCGATCTGTATATGATATCCTGATATCCTAACTACTTAGTTTTGTTAGCTGTAGAAATATTACCAAATGTTTAATTCAAAATGAAAATATGCCAGAATATGACAAAATTGAAAAAATATGAGAAAATTTTAAAAAATCAATATTTTCATCTTTAGAGAGATATTTTTATGCGATTTTTTTAGACGTTTTTTCTTTCCTACCAAGAGGTCATTCTGAATTAATGAGAACTGTCGAAATCAGTTCAGCCGTTCTCGACATATAAGAGATCTTTCAAGCATATCTTCTTTGATAGACATATATATCGCACATATTTTGCTATATATCCGATTTGCTGGATGTTAACATCAATGCAAAGGTCAGAAGTAACCTTGTCATGACTTTGTGATTTCGCCGGTATTTAAAATATTCGCGGTTTAATGAAAAATTTTGAATTTTTTCAACACAAAAGGTATGGTCTATTTTACCCGCTAAATATTATCCGATGACCACCCAAATTGGTAGGCTTCTTCCCCGCCCTAAACTCTAGCTACATGCGAAATTCCGCGTCGATTGGTCTATAATTGCGACCTCTATAGCTACTGCAAAATCCGACATTTTTTCAGTATTTGGTCCATTTCAACCCCTAAACATTTGACGATCATCTCCAAAAGAAATAGGCTTCTATTCTGACCCTAACCCCATCTTCGTGCAAAATTTCGTAAGGATAGGGCCATAATTGCGACCTGTAGAGTGATTACAAATTAACATGGACAGACGGACAGACGGACGGACGGACATACATAGCTAGATCGACTCAGCTCGGCGAGCTAGGAAGATCCATATATACTTTCCTATATGGGAAACCAATATTTTGAGGTGTTACATAAATTCTGGCCCAATCAAACTTATAATACCCCCAACACATAGTGTTGTAGGGTATAAAAATGGATAAATTCTATATAAGCAATACCAATACTAGTAAAAAAGCTGTAAGCTGTAAGGGCCGATCTTTAAATAACAATTTGGCAATTTTCAAAAAAAAAAATAAATAAATAAAATCCGTTAAAAATTCTGTTAAAGTCTTCAAAATACCGAATTTAGCCGTTATATTAGGGTCTATGCGAACTCTCGGCATAGGCAACTTTTATTATAAGCCATTACAATATTCAAATGCGAAACTTGAAAAAATCGGTGAATAATGTCGCTAAAATCATCAAAATACCGAATATCGGTAGAATTCGTTATGATTTCTGTCTTAAAATGTGTATTTCGAGGTGTTACAAACGGAATGGCAAACTTAATATACCCTAAATCATATGGTGAATGATATAATACAGGGTTGCCCATATTCGACAAACCCATGTTTTTTTTACCATTTCGATGACTCTTTGGGCCCTTTCCAATCCACGAGGCTTGTCCGCAGGGAACAAATGCAAATCAATGCGAATAATCCGTTATAAAGTGGACCGAGCCATGCCCAACTGCTGAGAACGGCGTTTTTGGGATGTTCTTGGGGACCTCTCAACACTGGCTCGTACGGCAGCGATATTCTCGGCCGATCGCCTTGGTCGACTTTTATATGGCCTCTTCGGATTAGAAAGAGCCTTACCAGTCGAAAATTTTCGCATAAACGCTTAATGGTGTTCCTAGAAGGCGCACTTCTCACATTTTTTAATGTTTTAAAACCACGTTGAGTTTTCACAATTGACTTCTTGTAAATTTCAACTATTTCAGAGCGCTCGCGTGGCATGTATTGATTCATGGTAAAAATCTGCTTGGACTGACGCTTCAAACGCGGTATGTCATTAAGCGATGTGACATCTCTGTCAAAAGTTATGGCGTTGCCAGATGGGTCCGTCGAATATGGGCAACACTGTAAATATGAAAGTTCCTCCACACAAAAAAAAATCTTTGAAATCGTCCACAATAAGCTCTCTTATAAAAAAATCCCACAATTATAGTCTGCCTAGCGTCTTCAAAAATTGGGAACTCCCTAAAAATGAATTCAATATTTAAAAATTCAAACTGTATCCGACAAAGATAGTCTGAAGATGTGCCTCTTTTTCACTTTATTAATTTCACCAACCTAAACAATAGCTAACTTTGTAAATATCTAAAAATCTGACATTG